GCCCAATGATCCCCCGACAAGAGCTCAGATTGTGATTCCGACTGCGTACGAAAACACCATCTCTGCAGCGCCACAACGCTTCTTATTGTGGGACAGCCAAGATGTCGACCAGATACACCTGTTTTCAACGACTGAGAACTTGCGGCTCTTATCCGCATGCCAAGATTAGTACATGGATGGCACTTTCAAGACAACTCCAAGGCAATACATGCTGATGTACAGCATCCACGGGCGTTTTCTTGGAGAAATCATCCCACTTGTATACACTCTTCTACCAGGGAAAGATGAGCGACTGTACACCAGGATGCTGGAGCACCTTCGTTTTCAGCATGGAATTGCTGCACCCCAGAGTGTTACAACTGATTTCGAGAAGGCTGCTCAGAATGCCCTGGAGCGCGTGTTTCCAGATGTGCAGTTGCACGGTTGTCATTTCCATCTCGCGCAAAGCTTTGAAGAAAGATTCAAGATTCTTGTCTGAAGCCACGTTATGAAAACGATCTTGAATTTCGCCTGCAAATGAAGTCCCTTCCTGCACTCAGCTTTGTGCCACCAGCAAAGGTGGAAGATGCATTCAACGATCTTGTAGCCACTATGCCAAACGCAGCACTGCCTGTACTGAGCTACTTTGAAGATAATTATATCGGACGGGTGATGAGAGGGAGCCGTCGGATGCCACCTCTGTTCGAACCAGGTCTCTGGAACAACTTTAATCGTGTCCTGCAGGACCTTCCACGTACAACAAATGCCGTGGAAGGCTTCCATTCCAGTTTCCTAAGAAACTGTGACGGGCTACCCCTGAATTTCTTCACCTATATTAGGAGACTACAGCAAGAGAACAATAAGCACGAAGTGAGCATCATCCAGCGAATCGCTGGTGCTCCCCCTCCTCCAAGGAAGAAGTACCTGGACGTAGATCGACGTCTGAAAACCCTCGTACAAAGTAAAAAAAAAAAAAAAACTGTGACGGACTACACCTGAATTTCTTCACCTATCTTAGGAGACTACAGCAAGAAAACAATAAGCACGAAGTGAGCATCATCTAGCGAATCGCTGGTGCTCCCCCTCCTCCAAGGAAGAAGAAGTACCTGGACGTAGATCGACGTCTGAAAACCCTCGTACAAAGATACGCAGGGATTCAGTACTCAACTGCAGACGACTTACAAGAGTTGGTGCGTAGTGTTGCATATAATATGAGTTTCTAGGAAGAGAAAACATTTCATTTGTAGACCTTTCACCATTTAACCAAAATAAAACTTTTATCTAGTAGGTTGTTCTGTTATTTGTGTCATTGTACCTCTTCAGAGACAAACAAGGGCGTGAACTATAAATCGACCCCTAGACATGAAGGAGATGGATGCGATCGATAGCCCTCCTTCCGCAACCGTGAAATCGGAACGCGATCAGGGAACTGACCGTTCGGGGAATTTGTCATTCGGGGAACTGTCCTGTCGGGGAATTGACCCTCGGGGAAATAACCATTCGGGGAATTGACTGTCGGGGAATTGACCGGACACCGATTTGTACATGGACTCCCACTTGTCCAGCGCGGAGAGCGTTCAGCACGCTGCAAAATCAGACGAAGAATACTTAGTCGCCTAGGCGAAACTCGATTTGGAACATTTCCAATGGGTATTCTCCCCGCCTGGGTCTCAATGAGTCCCTTGGACTGTTTCTACCGGGTGGCGCAAAAAAAAAAAGGATCCTGTTCGATCCGTCGTAAAACCCACAGAATAAATGCTGACTTTTAACCGAATCCGTTTAAGCTTAAACTAATCTGATCTCACAATGATCCCCTATGGGAATCAGTTTAACCGCGATAAACTTATTCCCCCAGACGCCCATTAAGAAAACGAATCAGTTTGAAGTTAAACGAATCTGGTGCTTGTCGCCCATTATGGCTGCACCTGATTGTTCTCGACTCCGCAGTGTCACCATACCGCAGCGACAGAAGAAGAACGGTAAAAGCGTTTTCAGAAGAAAGGCGAAGGACGGAAAAAAAACCCCGGGGAACGAAGTCCACGATTCGGTTGCAAAACTTTCTTCTCTTCCTACTCAAAGCATTCCGGCCTTTCTCTCTCATTTGTGGCCCGAGGATGCTGCATGGTCGAGATCACAACACCGAGAACGCGATCATACAGGCTTCGTGACGCCGAATGAGAGAAATCTTCTGGGCAGTGCTAAAAACCATCCAATCTCATTCGTGGTAAACCTGAATTTTCTTTTTGAAGACTTGCTTCTTTTTTTTTATCCAAACGACCTAGATACTTCACACTTTCAGAAATAAAATTTTAAGAGTGCTTTCGCTGAGATGCGAAAAAATTACGAACATGCATGTTCGTAATTTTTAAGCGAGTTCCATTGCGTCAAACAAGTCGCTTATTTTGCGCCACCCGGTAAAAGTGCCACAGATACTGGATGCTCTTTTCCCCAAAGAATTGATGAAGTCACGTCCTGGGGTCGAAAGCTCATTCACTTCATGCATGAGAGGAAGTGCCCCCGGGAATAGCCGTCTAAAATGTCTTCCTTCCTTCCTGAGTATTTTAAAGAATGCTTCATTCTCGGCCTGAAGCACATCGCACTGTTTGGGGACTGATGGAATGAACTCGTCCTCGAATGCAGTTGCGAAACCGTCGACCCTACTCGGGGCTCCCACCTTCGATTGTTTCTCCGGCCAACTCCCGAGATAAGGTGTCTTCGTCAAGTAGCTTGAAGCAACAGCGCTTTCCATAAGTCATCGGCAACGCTCTGCGTGGGCAGGCGAGTGGACGCACTGAGCTGTGCAACTCGTTGCGTACGGCAGTCGTTCCGGACGAAGCCACGTGGTTTGGGACATCTGTCGTTGGGGTGCCTTTCATGGCAGATGTTCGGTATTGTCGCCACCGATGTCGACGAGGGGCTCCATTCAGGACGCGTCATTCGCAACAGCTGCCCAGAGCATCTCGAGCAAGTAATAAAGACGCACCAAGTCGATCCTTTTCTCCATGGACAGGCTGACTCTCATTATTAGCTGCAGTCGTATCCATCGTGCCTGTACACTCGTTTGCATGCGGGACACGAATAGCGTCCCCAACGATCCACGTCCGCGATATTCCGTCAGCGAAATCGGTTGTACACGTCCCTGAAGTTACAGCTCCGTGCATCAGCGAGCCTGCCCGTTACGACGTTCTCGAAGGATCTCTTCACTTTTGGACCACCCAGTATTTAATCTGTACGCGCGCAGCAATGCCAAGAACCTCTCGTATTACACGCAAAGAGCGATGTCCAATCCATCACTGGATATCTCTTCCTTCAAAAAAACTTTTAGACAGACGTACAGACCCCGTCGAAGGCCTCGTGGCGGGCCACAAACGTTTCGCCCCGCTGTTCCCTTGCCCCGCCCCGTGCCGGGCAAGACGAAGCCCGGCCCTTGAATGCCCTCGCACCGTCCGACGTCCGTGGCCTCACTGCGAGCGCACGGCGAGGAGTGCTTCCCGTGCTACTTCCGCATTCCGGGCTTTCGAAGTGGTTCAACAGACGGACTCATGGCTGACGGTGGCGGGAACTGTCACGTGATAGCGCTCTCTCATCTGATTATTCTGAATTTCATGCTCCTACGCCTTCTATTTCAATGTCAATATTCTGCAATTAGACGACAATTGGAATGTATCTGCAGCTTCTTCGCTCACTTCTACACACAGTCATCAACTTCTAAGTCAACAGTGGTCGACTTTCTAAGCTTTCCCTCTTGAAGTCTCGGATTCACAAATTCTCTAATTGGTTTCCCAAATTTCCTTCTAATACAGACAAGAACAAAGCTGTGACTTATATGCTTAGAGGGATTCACATCACCTTTGATTGGTGGTGAGGGGCAGCGAAAAATATTTCTGCTTCACAAAAGTATGAACAGGGTTTGATGCAAGTTTGCTTGAAAGGTGTGGAATGAAAATTCTGAGGCGATGAATCGTTCAAATCATATGAAAAAAAAATTATGAACCAAGTTTACACCAAAATAATTACTTTTTAAACGATTCAGAAAATGCTCTAAACCCCGTGTTATTGTGAAACCCATGGTTGCTTGAGCTGTTAGGCAACAGATGCGCTTTATGCAGCACAGGTTTGCTTAATCGATCGAAGGGTAGACGAAGCCTCCCAGATTAGTTCCCAGACGCTACATTGGAAGCTCTCACAATTAGCACATGACATGATCCAGATTTAGCTCGATCCGGCCGGGGTAATGAAGGGAATAAAGGACTTACTTTTCCTGCGTCGATGCCGCCTCCCCTTGCCGACCGGCCTGAGACGCTTGGGGAGGTCGAAGTTCTGACGCTGCCGCCGAGAATCGTCCCTCCTCCTGGTCTTGAGGCCCCCGGCGCCGCCCAGGCGGATCCCGGTCCGCACGGCCTTCAGACTCCTCTTCTTCCGGTTGTTCAACCAGTGGAGGTTGGGGTGGGTGAGGGGCTCGCAGCGGGGCAGCGTCGAGGGGCTCCACTGCCCCCGGAGGCACGTGGCGCCCGGGGGGCCGCCGGTGAGCTTGTAGCCACGCTGGCACTCGAACATGATCT